TTGACTCCCTCTGTCTTGATAAGGCACAAACGTGGAGAGTTTGAGGGCATTCTTGGGCCTCCGGCTCGGAGAGGACTGGCCGGGCATCCAGCAGGTGTCAGAGTGGCCAAACTCTGTGCATTCCCGGGTGCAGTTCCCCGTCATGGCTACATCGGGCAAAGGCCGGAGATCTACACACGGGGGGAAAAAAGAAGACGGGGGGTGGGGGAGAAGGAGAATGGTTAAGAAGACACACCGGCATCGTCCGCAGCATCGACAGCAACTCGGCTAAGATGGGAAGAGCTCAAAGCAAAGCATGCTGGGAAAACGTACCCTAACAGGCTCCCTCTCTCTCTCTCTCTCTCCTCTCTGTAGGATGGTCAGGCTGCCTTCCCCAAAGGAGAAATAACAAGACAGGGAACTAAAAGAGGCACGGAGAATACTAGTCCTCAGGGGTTAGGCAGCAGGGGTCCCCAACCTTTTAAAGCCTGCGGGTCCTTTTGGGGATCCTGACACAGGGTGGTGGGCACAATCACAAAACGGCTGCCACGGGAAGTGGAGCCAACCACAGAATGTCATGGAGCAAGGTTATAGATCACATAAGTCTGAACAGTGAAGCTTCAACATTTCAGGCAGGAGCCATGTTTAACAAGATGGCTTTTAATCTGCACAGTCATTCAGAAGCACTGCTGGGCAAACGCCCCATCTAGCCCCTCCCACTTTCTAGAAGAAGAAGGATTGGATTTATACCCTGCCCTTCACTACCCAAAGGTGTCTCAGAGCGGCTTACAAACTCCTTCCCCTCCCCCTCCCCACAACAGACACCTTGTGGGGTAGGTGGGGCCGAGAGAGCTCTTGACAGAAACGGCTCTTGGGAGAACAGCTCTGAAAGAACTTGTGACTGACCCAAGGCCACATAAGAAGAAGAGGAGAAGAGATTGGATTTATACCCCGCCCTTCACTCAGAGTCTCAGAGCGGCTCCAAGGAATACCAGGGTCGTGACACAGAGCCAGGCAATGGCCGAGCACTTCTGAACGTCTCTTTCCTTGAAAACCTTACAGGGGCACCATAAGTCGGCTGTGATTTGATGGCCCTTCCCACCACCAAATAATAATTAGAAGAGATTGGATGTATACCCCGCCCTTCACTACCTGAAGGAGTCTCAGAGCGGCTTACAAACTCCTTTCCCTCCCCCTCCCCACAGCAGACACCCTGTGAGGTAGGTGGGGCTCAGAGAGCTCTGAGAGAATCGGCTCTTTTTCAAGAACAGCTCTTATCAGAACTATGGCTCGGCCCAGGGCACTCCGCAGGTGCAAGTGGAGGAGTGGGGAATCAAACCTGGTTCTCCCAGATTGGAGTCCCCGCACTCAACCACTACACCAAACTGGCTCTCTAAAAGCCCTTGGTGAGTGTTGGCGGGGATTCCTGGGCGAGGACAGTCTGGTCTGCAAGGTGGGGGGGGGGGAACACAGCCTCAATTCTGCATTCAACAGATTAAGGCAGGAATGAGATGATAAGAGTCCCGGGTGATAGAATGGACTATATCCACCATAGACAGGGAATACATTTTTAATGATCTCTCTAAAAACACACACTGCACTGCAGGTACAGAACCAGCACACACGGAGTGAACTGGATCAGAACCTTTCCCTCCATGTGACCATTTTTAAATTCTTGTTTTTGGGGGAGGGGGGCGCTTACAGGTGACATCACCTCCCTCTGCAGTCTGAATGGGTGCACTCCACCCTGCCACTTCGGGTGTCTAGCCCATTGTTCTCCTGTAGGGATGCCAGCCCAGAATTACAGCTCATCTACAGAGATCAGTCCCGGGGAGAAAATAGATGCTTTGGAGGGTGGACTCTATGGCACTGTACCCCACTGAGGTCCCTGTCCTTCCCCAGGATCCACCCCCAAATCCCCAGGAGTTTCCCAACCTGGACCTGGCAACCCCGTTCTCCTGCTAGGGTTGCCAGATCTGTTGGAAATGCTGGTGTGTGTGTGGGGGGTGTTCCGGGAGCCAGAAATGTTGTCACACGACGTACCTACATGGCCGGAAGTGATGTCACAAGACGCGCCTATGTCACCCGGAAGCGAAAGAGGCATGCTGGTCAGGGGCGATGCTCTGGTTTTTGGGCAAAACTCTATGGTAAAATCAGACTCAAACCATAGAGTTTTGCCCAAAAACCAGAGTGCCCCCCCCCCCAGATCACCAATGTACCTATGTCACTTCTGGGTGATATAGGCACGTTGTGTTTATTTCCAGCGAGGCCGTTGTTTGGGGGAGATTTCCTCTCGCCGGCCAGCTGGCCGGCGGTAGGCAGGAGCCCGCAAAACCAGGAGATACCTTGCCCCCAACTAGGGAATGGCAACCCTATCTCCCGCATGTGTAAAACAAGCCTAAAGCCCAGTCCGGATCCCAGAAGCCTGCCTTTCCCCGTTTCTGTCCACGGTACCTCAGTGCCGATTCTTGCCAATCCCTGATGATCCATCTACGGTCAGAGGCCCAAAATTTGCTAGCTATTCCGGGCCCCAAGGAGATCAAACTAATCGCTACTAGGACCAGGGCTTTTTCGGTGGCGGCTCCTACCTGGTGGAATGAGCTCCCAGGGGAGATCCGGGCCCTGCGGGATCTTATGCAGTTCCGCAGGGCCTGCAAGACGGAGCTCTTCCGCCAGGCTTTTGAGTAGGAGCCCCCCCCCACTATACTACCACCGTTGTGGGCTGGATGAAGCCCTGAGGAAACATCCGAACGTGGAAGAAACTGTCAACTTGGAACTCGGACACACAATCCGTCATCTTTGGATTATGATATCATTGAGCACTTTGTTTATATAGGAATTTTAAGATGTATTATGTTTTTAAATTTATTATGTATATTATGTTTTTATTATGGCAAGGCTCTGCCTCGCCTCTGTAAGCCGCCCTGAGCCTATGGGGAGGGCGGGGTATAAATGTGAAAAATAAATAAATAAATAAAGCGAAGGGGGCCCCAGATAAGGCAGCCATCTCCTGAAAGAAGCCCTCCAAGATGCTGAGACCCAGGCGGGAGAGCCCAAATGCTGGGGAGGGGGGGGAGGGCCTGGAGGCACTCGGCCCAATGCCGATAGAAGACTTCTTGGCCATCTCTCCAGAGCAACATCAGAACCCTCTTCCCCATGTCTCTGCAGACAGATATATCATGCCTGGATGGCTACCTGGCTGCTAGTCACTTTTCCCCACAGAAAGACTGGAGGAGCCCCCCCTGGGGAAGGTGCGTGGCTTTTGCCCCTGTGCATGAAGGCGAGGAAGAGGCTCTGCTTGATGGCCCCGAGATTTAACACCTCCTCCGGAAGACCCAAAGAAGACGTGAAGCCCTAAAACTGAGGCAGACCTCATGACCTGGCCGCCCTGCCCTCCAATCAGGGTTGCCCGCTCTGGTGGGGAAATACCTGGAGATTTGGGGGTGGAGCCTGGGGAAGGCTGGGTTCAGGGAGGGGAGGGACCTCAGGAGGGTACAGTGCCACATAGGATCCACCCTCCAAAGCAGCCATTTCCTCCAGGGGAACTGAACTCTGTTGTATGGAGATCAACCGTAACAGCAGGAGATCTCCAGACGCTACCTGGCCGTTGGTAACCCTACCTCCCATCACACCTTTCCCACTACAGTACAGTGGAGACGTTGAGTATAGGGGTAGTTTATTGGATTAAGGGTCTGCAGTGTCCTCCTAGAGAAGAATTCAGTCCAAGTCTTCGTATGTATCTACTTCACAGAATACTTTGTCTTCAATAAACCCCAAAAAGTTGTCAAACACACACACAAAAACTGGAAGTTGAGGCTACAACAGTGGTAAATCCAGCAGGTCCATCAAGCAGGTGGTTCTTTTATGTCCCTCCTGGACAAGCACTCTGGTCAAAATGCTGTTCCTCTTCCTCTAAATCCTCAGAGGCCATTTCAGACCTACTATTAGCCACAAGGTATAGATAGGGGCTCTGGGGCAAGTGATGCTCTGTCTTCTTGGTGCTTGGGGGGGGCCAACAGTGGGAGGGCTTCTAATGTCCTGGCCCCACTGGTGGACCTCCTGATGGCACCTGGTATTTCTGGCCACTGTGTGACGCAGAGTGTTGGACTAGGTGGGCCTTTGGCCTGATCCAACATTGGCGTCTTATGTTCTTATGACCTTGGCTGGCCACGTAGGGTCCCCAGCTCTAGGTTGGGAAATGTGGAGATTTGGGGGATGGAGCCTGTGGAGGGTGGGGTTTGGAGAGGGACCTCATCAGGGTGTCATGCCACAGACTCCACCCTTCAAAGCAGCCATTGTCTCCAGGGGGAACTGATCTGGCAATTAATAGTGGGAGAGCTCCAGGTGCCACCTAGAGGTTGGCAACTACCCGGAATCACAATGTGTGAACCTGCCAGGAGAGAAGGACATGCTGCCGCTGCTGCCTTCAATGCATTTTGGCTTCCAGGTCCTTCTCTGGTGCCTTCCTACAGAACTCTAACCTAGCCTAGTGCACTCTCAACCCTCCTGCACACATACATGAGGCTACTAAGCAAGGCAAATGCTGGGACAGATGCCTGAACTTGGGGTGAGTGGTGCCAGTTGGGAGTACACAGGAAGGAAGCAGAGAGGTGGCTGCCCAGTGGAATCTTCCCACGGTGCGCTGTGCTTCTTAGTCGCTTCTGCCAAACTCAGTATCTGTGTGCATGGGAACAGTGTTCCCTCTAAGCTGAGTTAGTGTGAGCCAGCTCACAGTTTTTGAGCCTCTGGGCTCACACATTTTTTGTCTCAGCTCAGAGCAAACTGATTTATGCAGCGGCCAAATCGCTCGCACACAACTTTAATGCCAGTAGCTCACAAAGTAGAATTTTGGCTCACAAGACTCCACAGCTTAGAGGGACCGTTGCATGGGAAGGCAGCTTCCTTTGGCTAGTCCCTCCATGCCAAGTACCCCACAGGCTTTCGGATTCTGCCTTCCCTAGCTGACATCCTCATCCTACCAAACAGGCATCTGAGGTGCTGCAGATGAATTAGTGGGGTTTGTTGTGGTTCCCTCCCCCCTCCATGAACAGGGCGGTGTCCTCGCCCCTGTCTGTTTCGTACATGGGCACCTAAATTGGAGAAGGGGCAAATCTGGATTTCCAGGGACCTGGAGATTTTC